GACCAGAGAAATGGTACAGCAGTCTAACCATATTGCTTATAGGACAGCCATTATCTTGATATATTATTTCCAGGTTTAATGGCCTGATGTGTCCATTGTTACAAATCTTTAATCACATGCATCTTTGATTTACTTTTGCCCAAACTCTTACGAATATAGTAGTAATACCAATAAATATCAATAGCAATAATTACTTTTGGTTGAAATCATTCAAAAGTATGATGGTGAGTGAAAAGGTTTTATGCATGTTTGTGAGTGAAGGGGGCTCTGACATGGCTCATTGTTTAATAATCCTGGCAAAGAAGTGAAGTGGACCTGCATCCTCACCTCAGAGGTGCTCTTTATCAGCAGGTTCTACAACATCTGACATATTATAGAATGTCTCTAAGTGTCAATCTCCTTTATCTGTAAATTGGAAATAATTACCATTTCAAAATTCATTGATGTGACAAAGGAAATAGCATGTATAAAGGCCTTGCACAAAATGATTTCTCCATGAAAGGTAACAATTATCATCATCTGCATTATTATTATAGCCATTCAAGTCACTGAATGACTTTCTCACAATCACTCAAAAAGTCAGTGGGGAGTCTGGACCAGATCTCAGTGTCTACCCTCCTAGGAGTTTACTTTCCACAGCACCAGGATTCTGCTCCATCATATCTGAACAGAGTATAGCTTTGCCCCTTTGTACATCCTAGCAGCAGCAACCAGTCATTCAGTATGTGTTTCAGATCTGGGACCCTGCCTTATCTTCCCATTCTCCCTCCTTGGGAGTCAAATCACTGACTTTGACTACAGTTATGAGACCTCTTGCTTTAGGAACTTCCAGATTCCCAGTTTCTATGCCCACTCATTCTGTTCATAAGGCAGCTCCTTCAAGCAGCTAAATTTAGAGCTGTGCTGTGTCTCCTCTCTACTCTCCGTTTTATTGGTATAGTACCTTATAGGATAGGAAAGATTTAGCATTCCTCTTCAGAAAGACAAACTGAAGTCAGAGAGATTAAGAAACTTGTCCAAGTTGTATTGTGAATGTATAGAAAAATCAGAATTCAAATCCAGGTAATTGATATGCATCTGCTAGACTAGTCCTAATATATAAAAAACCAGGGTTGTCATGACCAAAACAATTGGACAGAGAGCTGAACAGCAGGCTACCTGGGGCAACAAGCCTGGCAGGGGGGTTAGTGAGGGAGAACCAAATGACTTAATAGCAGGCTGTGTGGGGCCATCAGGCTGGCAGGGGGGAAAGTTGGGGGCAACCAGGCCAGAAGGAGGGGGTGGTGTGCTGGTTGGGGGCAACCAGACCAGCAGGTGGGCAGTTGGGGAGACCAGGCTGGTAGGGGAGGCAGTTAGGGGCAATTAGGCAGGCAGGTGAGCAATTTGGAGCCAGCAGTTCCAGATTGTGAGAGGAATGTCCAACTGCTGGTTTAATCCCGATTCCAAGGATCCCCAAGGGTCCTAGATTGGAGGGGTGTAGCCTGTGCTGAGGGGACCCCCCTCCTGTGCACAAATTTTATGCACCAGGTCTCTAGTATGTACATAAAAGTCTATGTATTTTTTTTAAAATCAGTACTCTTTACATTTGGTAACAATGACTAGAATATTCCACAGAAAGAAAGTTAAAGTAAAATTTCCAGCCCCTCCTAATTTTCAAATCACCTACATTTTTCTTCAACTAGAAAAAAAAATGGATTATTAGCATTCTAGGAACTAGGCAGAAATCCTAAGTCTCAAAGTTTCAGCATTTGGGTCCTCTCATTTAGTCAAGAGAAAAGGAGGAAGCAGTAATTTTGCCAGCGGTAAATGCAGTCAGAGAAGCATGCTATGTTGTTCCTCCTCCAAGACAGTCGAACTTGAAGCTTGTATCAAGGTGCTAAAGTTGATGGACTCTGACTATATCAGCTAAGCTACCTTATTGAGTTGATTTCCAATGACATGTCATTGCCATTTAATAAAAGCATTGAAAGGAAGAGCCTCATTTAAAACCATGTGTCAGAAAGGATCTCTGAGGGAAGAATGGTGGGTCATTGCTCTAAATGCAGAAATAGCTCGGCCTATCTGGAAGTACCTATTTGTATTGGAGCCTCATGGACAAGAATTCACTTCACTGGAAAAGAGAGTTGAAATGGGAGAAGCTTAGTCCAACATTATCAGAGAAAAGGGTTGGTTTCAAGTACCTAATGTCTCTTTCACAACTCATCCTTCCACCAGACACTCATCCTTCAGTTCTACCATCATACCTGGGTTCTAGTGTTGAGCCCATATAACAATGAGAAAATAAAAAGTAACATTTCAATCTGTATATGAAAGGGGAAGGCATTAGAGAAGCCATCTAGCATAGTTGGCTTTTAATATCAGAGACTGAGTTTAAATGCAAGTGCTGCCACTTACTGTCTGTGTGACTTTGAACAGGTAACTTACAGTCCCAGAGCCTTGGTTTCCTAATGGATTAATACACCGATCTGACTAGTGCCCATCTCATAGGCATGGTGTGGGGATTTAAATTACATGTCATACAAAAAACAGTAACATCAAAGAATAATTTGTAAGGGAAGTCTTCTTTCCCCCACTTCTACAAAGTAACTTTGTCCAGAGTTTATAGTTCTTACTGTCCATGTATACTATGTTTGAATCTCCCTCACATCCTTCATGGAAAGAAATGTGTCATAAATAAATTATTCAGTATATATCATATAAATGCATATGCATTTGCCTAATTTCATGGTTTCAGTGAAAAACCCTTGACAAGTGTCAACTGCACAGAGAGTTTCACTTCTCCCTCACCAGCCTTAAGCATGAAGCAGGCGGCAGAGTGGAAAGAGAAGGCCGAAGCCCATGGACAGGCCAGCCACTGGTTTAACCTGTGCCTACTGACAATAAAGCAACTCCCATGAACCTAGGGTCTCATGTCAGTATGATGGGAATGGAATTCTTAGTCTGCTCCTTCACCTGGATAATAAGAGATTCAAATGTGGTTGTCACTGTGTCAATATGTTCCAATTTATAGAGTATTATACAAATGTAAGGCTTTCCAATTATATTAATTTAGCTTTCTTCCACACCTTTCATGTCTCTCCACTACAAAAACATTAAATGGATTCTAAAACCTGTCCCTAGACATGACTTTCCTCTTTCTTCCCTTCTGCTCTGTCATATCACTTCTTTCCTCTCTTGTCTGCTTCACCCTCCATTTTCAGAGTCCCTTCTCAGAGAAGGGGCTAATGTGAAGGCAATAAGTATGCAGGATCCACTCTAGTTGTATTTTTATTTTCCTCTTTGGAGTCCTATATATTTGCTTAACTTAAAACATATATGTGGAACTAATACTCAAATATGTACATGAGCACACTCCCATATAGCCAGGACATACACAAAACCAGACCTTCAAGCTACTCAGGATCTAAAGAAGCCACTTGTATGTAAGCCATCAGGTACAGAGCTCAGACAGCCATAGGAATCCATACCAAATGCCCACATCTCCCTCTTGCAATATAATCACTCTCAACCATGCACAGATGACCACACAGACACATGCTCTTCATACACAGAGATGGAGAGGCATGTGAACAAACACACACATCCACTTTCACTAGCACATTGAGACCCAAAAACACACCCAGGCATATTCGGCAGCTCCAACCAAGCTTAGACCAAAACACACTCTGAAACAGTCATAAGCACATTCTTGTGTGTGGCCATAGTTCCAGTTCTGACTATTGTATTTCTCAAATGTCCTCTTTGCTTTCTTCAAATGCACCATTCTGAGAATCTTGGTGCGTGTGCTTTCCTGAGAACTCACCTTACCGTGACCCTTATTAACCCCAGGAACATACTTTCTCAGTGAGAACATGTACTCTTTTGTCAATGTGGTCATGGAGTGATGCCCAACAGGAAGAAGCAATGTGTGTTCCCCACCTTGAATCATTTCACAATCCCTTGAGGGATTCATTGTTTCATTAAACACTCATTTGATACAGAAGAAACCTTTTCTGAAACTCTTGTCTGTGGTCCCCCTGGCTGTTTTAGCCCACCTGTTTCTGGGATCATCCAGAAGAGTTGCCCTCTGCAGCCATCCCACCCTTTGCCCCTCCTAGAGCCCAAATTACTCATTATGAGACCAAAATGTCAGACTTCTCTCCCCCATTACAATAAGCATCACTTTTCACCAAATTATTTTAATGCTTCCTTTATGACAGTCATAACTTAGTCGGTAATCAATTTAGAATGACATCAAGTGACAAAGTGACAGAGTGCATTTGATGTATTTGCTTGAAAGATAGTGGTTAAAGATGGATATTTCCAGCATGTCTCTTACAGCCATATTGAAAAATTGAGGTTTATAGAGAAGACATGTAAAATGAGAACTGAATTTATATAAAAAATACATCAGGGATTATTATTTAAGAATGACTGGGATGTTTGTGAAGATGCATTCATCAGGTGTCCTTAGGAAATGGGTGCAGGGTTTTAACCTTATTGAGGAAACTTACTTAAAGAGGAAGAGGATCTGAATGGGAAGCCTTCTGAGTCATCATATAGAATTTAAATTGTATTCAATAGAAAAGGGAAACGTGAGCAAAGGCCCAGTGTAGTAAAAACGACCACAACTGCTTTGTTTCAAGGCGGACAACACATAAAATATGAGGTGCTTTCCATTCAAAAGGCTCAGGAGAAGAATTATGTCCTTTTCTGATGTTACCGGGGCAAGGCTCTTAGTTATAATTCAATTATATAGTCTAAGAGTTGAATGGAGTTTCCCTGTCTTCAACGCCTAGGCTGAGTTGGTTGAAACATTCACTTGCAGGTTCTACATTTTAGCACAATATTTATTCCCTCCACACTGTAAACTCCATGAGATTAGCTGTCCTGTGTGTCCTGGGAACCATGGAAGCATCTTCCCTTGGTTCAATGTCTGCTATGCTGCAGCATTTAATACTTGTCAACTGAACAAATATTGGGTACACCTGGGCAAGAGGCACCAGAGGAGTATTTGTTCATCAGATGGAGGGCATTGCTTCATCCTGACTTCCTTCTGCATCCACTGTTCCTTCTGGACTCCATGGCTTACCATCCAGCAAGGCTTTTCTCAGTCGTCTCCAGAAGATGTGCCGGCCCAGGGCATTGTCCTCCCACTCTAGGTAAGTGTTCCTGCGGAGAAGGCGATACAGCTCCACCTGCTGCCTGAGCAGGGATTTCTCCACCTTCTGCAGGACGATGAAGATGATACCCGCGTGACTGCTCAGGAACTGCCAAGTTTGGGCAATTTCGTACTCAAAGATGCACCATCGGCTCTGGATGAAGTGCTGGGACACCACCACAATGACCTTCCTGCTCTTGTGGAAACCTTCTTGGATGATGTTGGCAGCAATGGCCACGCCAGGGATAAAGTCTCTGTAGTGAAGGCAGAGCTGAAAGGGGGGTACCCCCTCCTCCAAGTTCTTCACCAACTCATTCCTCACCCAGTCCTCATCATGGCTGGAATAGATGACAAAGGCATCGTACATGCTGTCCCCTTTGCCATACCTTCTGCAGCCAGCCAGAAGCATCAGGTGGAAATAGAACTTGTAGACCAGAATTGCAGCCACAGATACTATGAGTACTGAGAGAACTGACACACTGATGACAGTTTTGTTCATCTGGCAGGTGGTGTTTCTAAAACTGAGCACAGGCACACCCTGCATAGCTAACGGTGTCTTACACATCATGTATTCAGCTCCCACCAAGATGCGCCTGTGGTCCTGGACCCACTGCAGGAAACGCATGTGTTCACAAACACAAGCAAAGTCATTCTGGGTCAGATTTAACGAAGTTACATTGCTTGGAATATGCTGTAGTTCCTGCCCATTGGCGGCCACTATACGGTTAAAACTATAGTCTAGAAGCCAGAGAGAGAGATTTTTATAAGGAAGCATATCCAAGGACAAGAGGTGGTTGTGACTCATATTTAGCACCTGGAGTCGAAGGAGTGAGCTGAATGCCTCTGGGGACACCTGTTCCAGTTGACACTGAGAGAGGTCCAGGACAGTCAACTGAGTCAGATCTCTGAAAATATTTGGAAGGAATGCATCCTGGAAGGAATTGCCAGCCATTTTCAAGACTTGGAGGCTGAACAAGCCATCAAAGATGCCCTGGAAGACAATCTTGATGTCAGTGTAAGAGATATCAAGGTAAAGGAGGTTTTTGAGTGAGAGGAATACTGAAAATGTACTGGCCTGTCTCAAAGTGGAATGCTGGAAATCCAGATGTTCTATTTGCTCTAAGCCCACGAAGTTTGAAGTCATGGTAATAATACTATTGAAGCTCAGATCTAAGTGTTTCAGTCGGGTTGTCCCAAAATCACGGTGAGAGCAGCAAGACTTGAAACTCAAGCCATTTCTACTGAGATCTAGAAACTCAAGGTTTCTTAGATTAACTTCATTAAAAGTGGCAATAACTTTGTTGGCAGTGAAAACAAACTGCTTGAGAAAGGTAAGCTCCAATGTAGGGAAATCTTCAAATTTACAATTAGACAATTTTAAGTATTGCCATTTGAAACCTGTTGGAAGGCTTTCTAGCCTGTCTATATTCAGACTCATCAGAGATACTGCAGAAGCATCTGCCAGACAATTTAAAAAACCATGGTAATCCTCTGGAAAGTCTTGGAAGTGTGCTATCCGGAATTCATCAATGGTCAAGTTGCACAGTTCCTCCAAGGCAGATTTGTCCAAGTCTACTAAGTTCCTTTCATTTTTAAATTCTCCTAGAATCAGCCGATTGATCTTTAAACCTGCCAGACCTTGAATACACGTTTTCATGACCTCCGTACTATCAAAATTACTTCTCAAAGTCAGTTCATGGAGCTTAATTTTTTCAAAGGCACCTGGTTGGATAAAGTCTAAAGGATTGAGGGACAGGTCTAAAGAGAGTCTGAATGAAGGCATTTGATGTAAAACCTGCAAGTCTTCGTGGTAAATTTTTCGAATCTTATTATTAGAAAGATCCAAGTGCTCCAGGTTAGGCAGGTTAGAAAAATAGTCTGGTAACTTGAAGGAATCGATTAGATTGTGCGCCAAATTAAGCTCCTTCAAGGATTTCAGATGTCTGATGGGGAAGTCCTCTAGAGATGCTAGGTTTGTCTCCACAGCCACCAGTGTCTGTAAACTTGATAGTCCAGAAAAGGCTCCTAGGGCTAAACTCTGGATAGGGTTTCCTGTCAATATCAAGATGGAGAGATGTTTTAGGCCTTGATATGCATCATCTTCAATCTTCTGAATTTCACATCTACAGGGAAAACAGATACATATTATATGTTTCTGATGACTAAGGAGCCCACAATGAAAAAACAGCATCATCTATCTCTTCCCATGGTTTTGACATGCCATACAATTGTGAACAGGCAAAGATGCCAAAGCTGATGATGGTAAGGACACATGGGAAGCCTCACAACTTGGGTATTATAAGCCACAGTGACAAACACTTTTTCTATAAATACATTTTATTGATTTTAGAGAGAGATGAAGGAAGAGAGAGAGAGAGATAGAAACATCAATGAGAAAGAACCATGAATCATCTGCTTCCTGCACCCAACTTGACCCTGACTGGGGATGGAGCCCGCAATCAGGCATGTATGTGCCCTGACCAGGAATCTAACCTGCGACCTTTTGGTGCATGGGATGGCACTCAACCAAGCCACTGCAGCCAGGGCAACAAACTCTTTTGTCACAAATGCTAAGCATAGACAATACATCCATCAAAACAAAATCAGTTAAAGATCGGTAATTGGGTCACATACAGAAGGTATGGCTGACAGAGTATATAATAGCTGAGGATCAACGTTAGCCATTCTCTGCTGGTAATCGTGACCATACATCTGATTGGTACAGACAGTCCAATTAGTTGTTGTGCAGGACAAATGACGGTCAATGTCAATTTCGAAGATATAAGAAATTATACCTAAGTGTTGCAGGTACCCTTACTGTTGATGGAAAGTTATAAGTATCACAGGTAAATGTTAGTGATAAGGCTGAGTTTTATTGCAGACAAATCTACTAGGAGGGTTTGTACCCAGAGAACAGACTTAGACAAGGGGGGTGGAAGCAGGCTTCTCTGAGAACATTTAAGTTGAAACGTGAAAGATGAATAGGAATGAACAAGAAAAGGAAGTGAGCACAACAGCAAGTACAAAACACTCGAGTTAGGTGGCAGATATCATACATAGAGGAACTTTGAGAACCAACTTCTTTGTCCAGAGTCAGAGAAGGAAGTGGAGGGGTGTGAGAAGTGATTGTGGAGAACAGAAGTTAACCTAAGGCCCTAGGCTTTCCTACTACAAAAAAGACTTTGAATTATACCTCAAGTGAAATGGAAGCCATGCTGTACAATGTTCATAGAGGTATCTGTGAGACAGGTTTTTATCTAGCCAGCCAACAGTGAGCTAATGGTCAACTCTTGCTGGCCTGGCAAGAGCCTTTCAGTTACAGTTTGTAAATGACTCCTTTCCTAGTCCAACCTGAATTACACTGGCAATGTTTCCACTTGCCCTATCTCCTTCAGGAGGTTCCTGGGCAATACAAGCATTTCAGTCCAGGCTTCTGTTATTGATTGGTAACTAGATAGAAGGTAGCAGGTGCAGTAGAAAGGACAGTGGAAGATGAGGCCAAGACATCTGGGTTCTGGCATCTCTGCTTGTCCTTTTCTACAATGTGATCTCAGGAACTTCTTTCCTCCTTGGGGGCCTAAGTTACCACTTTTCTAAATGAGGTAGCTAAACACATCTCTTTCTCAAGTTACTTTTAGCTCTATGATTTTATAATCCGTAATCTTATGGATATATAATTCCATGCATCAGGCAAGACTGGAAGAGTCTAGCTATGTCTCTGTCTCGTCAAAGGATGCTCATTACTCTAGGAAAATGGAGTACTAAACTGAAGTAAACATTGAACTTGAAAGTGGGAAATGTGAATTTGAATCTCTAGTCTTCTTGCAAGTAAGATATGTGAACATAGATAAGTCACTTAAACTCTCCCTGCCTCTGTTTCTTTGTCTATAAAAAGAAAAAAAATGTATCAATAAGTTTCTATAGAAAAAAAGCACCTTCCTGGCCCATCACAAAGCATCCTTAGAGGACTAGTTGAGTTACTGTATGTGAACATTGTAAAGTAATATGAATAAGCATAGACTGTCTATTATACCATTGTGTGTCCTTGTCCTCCTACTGACTAACCAGAGAGGAAGCTGCCTTTCTCTGAGCACATATTAAGGTCTCTGAGAAAAGTCCCTGTGGTAGGTGATGGATCCAAGATGAATTATAAGGGACATTGCTTGATAAGAAACTACTTCTTATTTACAAAAAGAGGGAGGGTTGGTCTGTCTACCTCCATACAGCTCTTGACAAGATTCCTAGTGAGAAAACTGAAATTTAGAAAGTAATTAAATGTTATAATAATAATACTTTATACTTATCCAGTTTCCTTTATTAAGATTTTAAGTATGCATAGCATGTCAGCATTCATTACCACATTTAACCCTATAGGGTTAGTTTCATCATTTCTGCTTCACAGATGTGGAACTGGAGATTCAGGGAGATGAAGTGACGTGCCTCAGGCCACGTGGCTGTACATGTTGGTGGAGCACCTGAGCCCACGGGCTCTATAAAATACACTACTGCCTTTAACATGCCCACTCTTCTTTGTTATACTCTGTCAGTATCTGAGTTAGAGTGTGAAACATCAGATGATCACTCTTTACAGAAACATCTACTGTAGAAGTATATTTCACTCTAGAAGTGTAGTCTTTATCAGGACTATCCATAATAAAAAATCATATATCCAGTGTTTCTCTATTTTCACAAATTGTTATAGAAACTATGGTTTGTTATTGAGTCCTCTAGCTAAATATAGTTCACTATTTTTTAATAAGACTCCTAACCAATATTTTAAGAATATATTTTTAATTTATTTCAGAGAGGAGGTGAGAGGGAGAGAGAGAAACATCAATGATGAGAGAGAATCATTGATTGATTGCCTTCTGCATGTGCCCCCCCCCTTCCACTGGGGATTGAGCTTCCAATGGGGGCATATGCCCTGACTGGGAAACAAACTCTGTGACCTTCTGATGCTCAACCACTTAGACACACAGATTGTTTTTAACCAATTTTAAGGTTCAGTTTCCCTTCCCTAAATAATGATAACAACTTAACCTATCATAATGAATGGTATATTTCCTGCATCAGAAAGGGAAATCTTAGTTTTCTCACCCACAGTAGATGTTTCCCTTAGATCTTGCCATGTTTCTTCTTGGGTTCCTTGTATCTTCCTAATTCCCTATTCTCTACTTCACTTTTAATCTACTCATCCCATGAAATTTGTCTTGACTACCCACTGAAGAGAACACCCCTCTTCTGGAAAATGCAGTTTGTAGCTTCTATTTTGTACATAGCTTATCACTGACTTATTTTTATTCTTACCTCAGGTTCAAAATCCAAAAATCCAAATCAGAAATATTTGCTGGATGTCTATTATGTGCCCAGTGATTTTAACCTATTAACTCTTTCAAGTAAATTTGCCCTGCTTGATAGCTGAGATTGAATGCTATATCTCAACATACTTTTGATTCCTAACAGAGTGTACATATAGCAAGTAGTCATCTGCTGAGAAAAAAGTTTGAGACCATTTCTCTTCTGACTTAAAAAGAAGTTCAAAGATAGGATTATCCTTAGAAACTATCTCTTGTCTAGCTACTGATTTCACATATTTTGTATGTAAAATGGAGAACTAGAGAAGGCAGATGAATTGTCCAAAGTTATACAGTAAGTAAGACATCTATCAGATGGATGAATAAGTGACTGAAAGGATAGAACAATGAACATTTTACCTGGTGCTGTGTCTAAAAGCTTGTCATTACCTGGATAAATCCAGCATCTGCAGTTCTGAGAAGTTGGAGAAGCTGTGGCTGCCTAAATGACTCAGAGGGTTAAAGCTCAGATCCAGGTTCTTGGTTGTTGTAGGGATGTTATCAGGGATTTTGGAGAGATTCAGCTCCATGCACTGGTAAGTAATGTTAGGAACCACCTGCAATGATTATACATTGATGCAGTGTCTTAATGCCATGTACCTCAACACACCTTTCCCTTCTCCTTGGCCAGAGTTGGAGAGGTCTCTAGGACAATCTGCATCCATCCACCCATCCATCCATCCACCAACCCATTTACCTACTCACTTCACACTTACAAGACATCTTACTCTGGATTAAGAAGGGAATACCACCTACAATGTACCTACTATTCTAACCTCTGATAAAATAATTGTAGCATTTAGCAAGAACCAATAGTAGAATGGTGAAGAGCTGAGGCTCTGGAATACACAAACCTAGGGCTTCACCTAGGCTCTTCCATACGATTTAGGAGAAGACTTTGTTTTCCAAATAACGTCCCCATTGTATACAGCCTGGGAGATGAACAGTCAGGGTGTTCAGACTTCCTTTACTCATAGCCCAATTGCTTCTCTCTGTTGGCTTATTGACTGCTGAGCAGGTGATAGAGAAATGGGAGGAAATAGTTGGAGTGCCTAGACCCCTGTGGTGGAACCTGGTCAATAACATCTGGTGCTGTATGCTGACTTGATTTCTGTGTCAGCTTCTATTATACTTTCCCAAATTTTCTGTAATCCCTGTTCTCCAAAAACCCATTTGATTCTCTGATTTCTCTAAAAACATGTCTTGCTTAAGTCAGCTAATTGTGCCTTTCTGTTGTTTAATACCCATAAGAACCTTTAAAAGGATTACAGGAGATAAGGTATTTAAAGACATGATCAATAAATGTTGGCTTTTACTATCATTAGTTGTTATTAATTAATTGCTATATACCAGTATATTGCTTACCTTATATACTTTAATATGCAACTAACCTTTCTAAGGAAGAATTTCTGGATGTGAAAGAATATGCATACAGTCTTATAGGCCAGGCCATATGTGCAGGTCCTCAATGCAAAGTCTGCTAAAATCCTGTCTTTAACAGAAGCCTCACAGGCCACACTGTCTAATAGAGGACGGTGCCAGGCATTCTTCTCTCACCACCTTTTATCCTGTCACCCAGGACGTAAGACCATCTAACGTCATGTTGCCCGTGGAACTGTTCCATCTGTATTGTTCGTCTCCCTGACTAGGTAGTAAGGTCTGATAGTCTTGCTCTCTGCTTTGTCTCTCGCACTCAGAATGGTGCCTAGAAAATAGTCAATGCTTAATAAATATTTGTTCAATAAGGGAATTACTGATTGAATGGAGGTTTGTTTAAATCCCAGTTATAGGCATTTTCTGTTTAGTGTTCTGGGCAGTACAAAGACCAATGTGATGTGGCTTCAGATTTCAATGAGCTCACAATCTAGAGTAAGTGTTAAAACAGTGAAATAAGCCAGTCAGAGAAAGATAAGTACCATATGCTTTCACTCAGAGGTGGAATCTAATGAACAAATGGAATTTACAAGGGAAACAGAAACAGACTAATAGATAGACAGCAGGCTGACAGCTCTTGATGGTGTGAGGAAGGAAGATGGGGGTTGGGGGATTAGGGATTGAGAAAATGAGAGGGGAAAATACGTATTGAAAAGGGCTATTAGACCAGGCTTGGAAAATATTTCCTCTGGTTGAGAAATGATAGAGATCAATTCTGCATCAAAGGATACCCTGTTTCCCTGAAAATAAGACAGTATCTTATATTAATTTTTGTTCCCAAAAATGCACTAGATCTTATTTTCAGGGAATGTCTTATTTTTCCATGTGCTAGGTTTTATTTTCGGAGGATGTCTTATTTTCGGGGAAACACGGTAGTAGAACTCTTTGGAGAAAGAGAAGATTTCAAGGTGGGTCTTGAAGGATGAACAAGATTTGGATACATGGAAAAGGGGGGAGGAGGGAGCAGGGAGTAATGAGCATGAAAAATTCATTCTTATCATTTGGCATGTAAAGGGATAAAACAGCTGGCACATGAAATCCGAGCCCAAGAGGAAGCCAAGGTCCAATAAGGAAGTGCTTATACTTTATCTTACGGAAATCCTTTTAAATCATGTGCCAGAAACTGAGAAATAGTGATAAATAAAACCCACAATGGCCATGCCCTCTTAAAGATTCTATCTCAAAGGGAAAGAAAATGTACAAATAAACTAATATATATATATATATATATATATATATATATATATGTTATATATTATATAATGGTGTCCTGTATAAAATAAAGCAGCATAAAATATTAGGGGAAAATATGGTGCTGGCATCGGTACATGAGGTGATCAAGGAAGACTACCCAGAGGAGGTGATACTTAAGCAGAAATCTAAATGAAGTGAGGGATTAAGCCATGCAAATATCTAGGCCTGCACTGTCCAACATGGCAGCCACTCGTCATCCAAGGCTACTGAACATGAAAAATGTGAATAGTCTGCGTGGCTGGCATGGCTCAGTGATTGCACATTGACCTGTGAACCAAGGGGTCAAGGTTTGATTCCAGTCAGGACACATGCCTGGTTTGCGGGCTCAATCACCAACCAGTGATTCTCAATGATTCTCTCTTATCATTGATGTTTCTATCTCTTTCTCCCTCTTCCTCAGGGGCAAAAATAAATAAATAAAATAAGAAAAAGAAGATTGAGATGTATGGTGAATGTAAAATATATACTAAAGGCTTAGTACCAAAGAATGAATGTAAAATACTTTATTAATAGTGGTATGTAAATTACATTTTGAAATAACTTTTGAATATATTGGGTTTAGAAAACTATGTCTTAAATTCAGTTAGTTTAATGAATGATTTAAACTTAAATCATATCCTGTGACCCTCATGATGTTACCAGTGGACAGCACTGATCTAGGGAGAAAGCGTTCTAGCTAGGGGAACAGTCAGTGCCCAGGCCCTGTGCTAGGAACCAGTACCGATAGCAATGGAGAATTACTATGTTTTTAAAGAGGATAATTTGCTAGAACCAGGCCTTAAGAAAAAACAACTACAAATAAACAACAAACAAAAAATATGCAGAGTACATTAAAGGAAGGGGCTATGGAGTCAGGAGACTAGTCATTATCTAAGAGTGAAGGCCAGAGGCCTGAAGATCTGCCCGGGGCTTGGCAGAGAGGAATTGGGCAGGCTCTGGAGACAGGGAATATGAGGCATGAGGGAAGGAGGAGTCAGGGATGGCTGCAGTCTTATCAGGGGTGACCGTCCTGGTTGGATGGTCTCTTCCCAGCAACCTAACAGCAAGAGAGTCAGAGAGGAGGACATGGTGTGGGGCGCTGGGCAGGGAACTAGGGAAACAAGGGACTCTGACCAGCTGGCTCGTGTTTCACAGAGAAAGAAACCATTGCATTGGCTGACATTTTATATCTTTCTCTCTCCTTTTTCCTTCCTCTCTTTACCTCTCTTGTTTTCTATTTTTTCTGTCTTTCCCCTTTTTTATTTTATTAAAATTGTTTTTGCTTTTTATCCTTTGGATAGAACTATGCCTAGATTCAGAAGTCTGAAGTCCACATAGAAAGTTTCTTCTTGTTAAGAGACAAAAACAAACAAACATCTTCTCGAGACTGAAAGGGCAGTGACTGCTGGAAGCTCGGTGCCCAGATCACCAGCAGAAAGAAATGACTGCAGGCAGCTTTCTTACAGCTACCCATTGAAGGAGGTGATACAACCCTGTTATAGATGTGAGAAGCATCTCAGAGAGGCTTAATAACTCCTTCATGGTCACACAGCCTAGAAGCCTAAGAAGAGTGGTTTTCAGCAGGTCTGTCTGAACTACAGTCCTAAATAGGACATGATCTCCTGGGCTGCCTGTTAGTGCCTTTTAACTGTGAATTATCTGGTCCCTGTAGCTTCTCATGGCTTTAAGGTAATTCAATTCCTTTTTGGAAATGAAACTAACCAGGGCCCACAGTGGGAAGTTCTGATCTTTTCTGAAAAAGCAAGAGAAAGCCCCTAGGGGATGAATGGACCCCGAACACATACCTGCACGCAAGGGTCCCAGCTCTCGGGTCTCAGGCAGGAGAGGAAGGCCATGGCTGGGAGCAGCGTCCCAGCCAGGCGGGTGAGCCGCATTATCCCGGCATTGTCTGCCACCAGAAATGGCCCTGCCACTGCATGACACGCATTAACCGACTGCCCAGCAGTCTCCCGGGCACTGCTGTCTTTTCTCCCTTGTGCGTGCCCCACGACAATTACTGTATTCAAAGCAGCGCTGGGTGAGGAGCAAGAGGAAGTGAGAGTGGCAACTGTAGCATTCTGGACTTTTGTTTCTCTAATATTTATCACCCCTGTCTCAGGAGGGGAAGTTAGAAAAAGAAGAAAAACTCCTGCAAACCAGTGGCTGGAGCAACAGCAAGAGGAAGCTGGCCGCTCTCCCAGTTAGTCATCTGACCTCAGCGTTGGTGAATTTAGAAAAACAATCCCACTCATCAAACAGTCCGCATAGCTGTGTAGGGCTGCGGCCTTCCTGAAATGATTTAGTGGTAGAAACTCACTGTGTCAGTTTCCGAGGGCTGCCATACAAATCCTCACGAACTAGGTGTTTTAAACAATAGAAGTTTGTTTTATTCCGCGGAGTCCTGGCAGCCAGAAGTCTGAGATCAAGGGGTCAGCAGGTGGATTCCTTTTCAGGCTCTCTGCTAGGCTTGGAGGTGGCTATCCTCTCCCCATGTCTTCTCATGGTCTTCCTTCTGTATGTGTCTGTGTCCTAATTTCTGCTTTGTACAAGGGCACCAGTCACATTGGATGAAGGCCCACCCATATGACCTAATTGTATCTTGATTATTTTTTAAAAGACCCTATCGTCTCAAATGAGGTGTGGGGTTAGGTCTTCAACATATGAAGGGGATGGGGCACAGTTCAACCCATCGCTCCATTCAGCCTTGCAAAATCTTGGGAAGAAACTCGTATTTATGACATCCATTGAAAATAAAGCTCCAGTGAAACATAGTTTGAAACTTAGTGGGACAAGGAATAGTAGGAAAGATTAGCGTGAGACTCAAATAAACAGAAATTCAAATCCAGGATGATTTATGGTTTTAGGTCATTGGCCACGTCATTCATTTAAACTACTGAGCCTTCCTTCATTTCTGGTCCAAAAATGGAATAATAAGTTTTAATCACAACAGAAGCTGTGATTTATAAAATGCATAGAATGAAAGCTATTGACAGCAGTCAAATTATATAAGCCACTAAGCCTTAGATTTTTAGTCTTTATTTTTATTATTATTATTTTTAAATATTTTATTGACTTTTTTTACAGAGAGGAAGGGAGAAAGAGGGATAGTTAGAAACATCAATGAGAGAGAAACATCAATCAGCCATCTCTTGCACACCCCATTCTGGAGATGTGCCAGCAACCAAGGCACGCCCTTGACAAGAATCAAACCCGGGACCTCTCAGTCCGCAGGCAGATGCTCTTTACACTGAGCCAAACTGGTTTCGGCAGATTTTTAGTCTTTAAAATGGAGATAATCACATTTGTCTTACACAATTGAATTAAGTTAATTTACATAAAATGTCTACTCTAGGGCATAGTTTATCTGTATATTCCATTAATTGTAACATGTAGTGATGATTAACAATCTGAATAAAATGGGAATAAATATGTACCTCAAAGAGTTGTCATGGGTGTAAATAAGCAGGTATTTGTGAGGCATTTAGGATGTGTGTGGGATGCTGCAAGTTCAATATAGGTTTTTGTTCAATATAAGAACATAGTATAAAATGGGGATGTTACTGGCATTGTGCCCTAACTAATTCTGTCAGGATATCCTGCAGGCACCCTAATCCAACATATATGAAATCAAGTTGTGAGGAAGCATGCCATAGGGGAATGACTGGGCACATGTTCTTATAGAATTCTTCAACAGAGCTGTAAAATTAAGCTGAAAGGAGTTCCCATGTCCAATCTTTGCTTTGAGGATTGAGACTACGTACATTAAGGTCTCAGAGCAGTGCCTGGCACCGAGTACCTGCTCAATAAAGTTTAGTTCTCTGGAAAGTTAAAAGCATGTTGCTCCCACATAGTTCCCCAAGGTGGAAATTTTCTTGCTTCCTCTTTTCTCTCATCAAATGTATATTGACTATATCTTACTTCCTGTGTTCTTGATGTTATGGCACGGGCATCCTGTTGAGAATACACTGCCCCTCCCAGGGATGGCCAATTCCTAGAGATAGCCAATGATTTGCCCTGGAGTGCACCTTTTCTATGCAAACTAACCCATCCAAGGCTCATTGTTAAACCTTCTCTCTATCTGATTTAATACTCTAGGAGGCAATGTTTCTCTCCCCTTATCATCACAGAGTGAGGTACACACAAAGAGAGAAAGCCCCAAATGGCCCAGAGCCTGCTGAAATTATTATATGCAGCCCATGTTAAGCCTGCTTACCTTGCCTTTCCTTGCCTTCCCCACAGAAAGTGCAATAAAGGCTCCTGCCCATGCCTCACCTTCTCTCCTTCTGCTTCCTGAGGATCCCTGGTGCTTCCCTGTGTGGTGTGGTGTGGTGTGCCTCTCTCCTCTTGGAAACTGTGAGTAACAAACTATCAATGGTCACTTTCTCTTGATCTATGGGTCTCATCACACATGTACCATAAAACCTACATTTTAAAATAAAATATTCTACTGAGTCCTAGATATTTTATCTATGAAACTAGAGGCCTGGTGCATGAAATTCATGCACTGGGAAGGGGGAGGCTCTCAGTCCAATCTAATCTGACCTGTGTTAGATTAGGCTAATTGCTGTGCCCTCTTGCAGTCTGGGACTCCTTGGGGGAAAGCGAGATCAGGCCTAAGCTGGCAGTCAGCCATCCCTCTTGCAGTCTGGGGCTCTCACAGTCTAGGACCCCTCACTCCTTACCTCCTGCTTGCAATGGAGGCAGGAGAGGTTCCCACCACCACCACTGCACTCACCAGCTGTGACCCCAGCTTTTGGCTGAGCAGTGCTCCCCCTGTGGGAGCACACTGACCACCAGGGGACAGCTCCTGCATTGAGTGTCTGCCCCCTAGTAATCATTGTGCATCATAGCTACCGGTCGTTCTGCTGGTCATTCACCTTTTGGTCAATTTTCATATTAGGGTTTTATTATATAGAATAGTTCTAAAATGTCTGTTTTCATTTCTGTTATTCATACATCCCTTGTCCTAGATTAGTGCAATATACTGTTTATGGGTTGATTGGGGACTAGACCCTCCTATTCCAGTGTCTCAACTCAACCATCCTATATCCTGAAAGTGAAGCAGTCTTTCTAAAATGCAAATTGAATTACTTCATGCCATAATAATAATAATATTCTGAAGCTGGGTATTGTCCATACCTCAAACTTCTTGCCTTTTCACACACACAAATCACTCCACTTTATAAAAAGAATAAAGGTGTCTTATTTCAGGCCAGACATACCAAAACCCCATTAGTAGGAAGAGCACTTAAGTGAATAGAGTATATAAATGTGTGTAATAGTGCAAATCCTCTTTCTTGTTGTCATTGGAAAGAAAACCTTTGACAGTCAAGATGAGGCCAAAGAGAAAGGGTTTGAGATAATCTCCTAGACTGTGTTTCATGAGGTATTCATACATGGGGTCTATAAAAGTCTTCCTAGAAAATTCTCCTATTTGTGACTAGAAGATGTATGATCATGCCTTATAAAGACTTGTCCTTTTCATGGGAATAACACACTGTTGTTTACTAACTTTAATAAAAGATATTTCAGTTCTGGGTGCCTCTTCCAGAAGGTAGGCTCTGTATCAAATACAAAAGAGAAACTTAAAGACATGGGCTATAAAATCTTATTTGATTTGTTGAAGGACCCACCACTCCACTGCTAAAGGAAGCCAGAGAGTAGTGATTGGCTACAGCCTGGACCCATAAGTTCCAGTGCAGTACAGTAATTAGTACACCTTGGGCACCAGGATGACATGGGACAAGACATGGTTTTCTACCCCCTTCATGCAGAATAAGGTTAACTCAGGACCAGTCATCATTGACTCACAGTTTTGTGGAAGAAGTATTCAATGGCATTTGGCAGGTACTGCACACTCAGTAATAAATAGTGAAAGAACAAAGCTGACCTGTGTTAGATTAGGCTAATTGCTGTATCAACCTCCAAACTTTAGTAACTTAACATAATAAAATTTTATTTCTTGCTCATGAAATTCTCAGTGAGGATCTTCCTGGTTGGAGGTACTCCAAGAATGAATCATGAGTCCAGGCTCCTTTTATTTCATTCTGCTGCCATATTCAACATGCAGCCTCCAAATCTGCTGCAGAATGTGAGAAGAGTGTGGGAAAGTGCACCGATACTCACTACCTCTGTCCAGGAGTGACATGCATCATTTCTGCTCATTCCATTGTTCAGAACTAGTCCCAAGACCACACCCAGTAACAAGGGCTATCTTTATCCTTTTACCCCCATCCAAAACCTCAAAACTCTCCCTCTCTCTCTCTCTCTCTCTCTCTCTCTCTCTCTCTCTCTCTCTCTCTCTCTCTCTCTCTCTCTCTCTCTTACACACACACACACACACACACACACACACACACACACACACACGTCACTTTACAGCACCAATCACATGAACGGAAAGATAGATTGTTTATGAGTGGATTTTCTGTGCCACAAACTTAGCATCCTATAATACCCATTCCATGGTGATTGAAAGAAATAATGAGTGAGCAAACCCAACATAGGCTGCTCAGAAAACAGAGTCCCCCTTCATTTGGCATCTCTAAGAACAAAATCTGATTCTGTCCACCAGTTCTGTTTCACTTTTCTTTGCACATGTTAACATGACTTAAATCAGCATGTGTCTCATAGAGGACAATATATTGAAATGATCATTGGCAAAGTTTTTTTTTTAATAGTAGCAAATTAAGTAATAGGACTTCTTACAATCAATGGTGGTATCTTAGATTCAATGAAGAATAGTTTGTCACTGAGAGGAAGAAGAGACACAGGCTCCATTCAGTAAATAAAGGACACAAATGAATAAATAGATTTATTTCCTAAGGACACTGTAAAACACATACTAGACTAATGTGTATTTTGCTTCTATATAAATAAATAGAATCTTTCCTAA